TGAAAATAAGACCTAGCGCATTTTTCAGAGCAAAAATTAATATAAGACAATGTCTTATTTTCGGGGAAACACGGTAGTAAAATAATTATAATATTAATAATAATAATTTAGTAACATAAATTTATTCATAGTAAAATGTACTCGTGGGCCGTAAAAATTATTTGGCGGGCCGTATACGGCCCGCGGGCCGCCAGTTGGACAGTGCTGCTCTAGCTAAATAATTAAAAATAATGCAGCAACATGTTCAGATTCGAAATATTCAGCTATGTCTGCCACATTCAGAACACGCAGGGGCAGACACACAGGAAACTACACAGGAACTAATAGAGCTTAAGCCCTGGGGCCCCGAAGTGTCATAACCCACAAAAATTGAATTATTATCATAAAGTTTTAATAGTTTTTCATTACTAATGAGTCCTTATTCTTATTAAAAATAGTTAATAGGTTAGGTTTGATTAGGCTTGTTAAAAATGGTAAAAATGTTAACAATCAGTCTCCATTAGATTTCAATAAGCCCTAATCCTTGGAAAACCAATATCTGTTCCTGCGAACACGTATAAATTACACTAGCCTGCAATGGTTCTGTTTTTTAACTTTTGATGATTGATTCCTATGTATTTTGGTGTGCTGAACCCGAAAATGACCTTAGTTCAGTTTCATAACGTAAGAATTTCTTGTAATTCGCAATGTGCCAAATGTGGTATATGACGAAAAATATCACAGATATGAAACTTAATGACAAATTGAAATAGGTTTGTTTCGTATAAAACGTATTATTTTGTGGCTTATCGACAATATAATATAATATAGAAATTAAAACACTCTCCATTTTAGTCATTGTGTCGACGTCTCTTTGGACCAGTCATGCTCTATATTACGCTTTTCCGTGCATGTGTTCTGGGATCATCTCGATCCAACATCTAGCAATAGTCCTCCATCATTGTACTATTCCATCTGCCTTGGTAATTTTTTTCCATTTCTTTGATGTGCCGATGAAATCTCTCTTCACTAACCGCACCCAGATTTTCAGGAACGTAGTCTAAATGTGCATGTGAGAAATGAACCTTCAAATTCATGGAACAGCCTAAATTTTGGTACTTCTGCAGCATTATCTTAACGATAGACTTGAAATTAGGATCCTTCTTGTTGCCCAGAAACTTGGTTACTGCATCTTTAAAGGCGACCCAGACTTATTTTTAGCAACTTCCATTTCTTTTTCAAAATTTCCATCTTTACAAAGTTTTCTAATGTCCGGACCAATAAAGATACCCTCTTTTAGTTTTGCGGTTGACGAGGCTGGAAATTTGCTACAAATGTACTGGAAACATTTACCATCTTTTGGTAAGGCTTTCACAAATTGCTTCATCAAGCCTAATTTGATGTGTAGGGGTGAAAGGATAACTTTCGTCGACTCGATAAGAGGGTTTTGCAGCACATTTTTTACTCCAGATTTCAATGAAAGACGTTGTGGCCATTATTTCTTTTTCCAATAATTTTCCTTGTCTCTGCTATCTCACTCACATAAAAAACACGGAATCTTTGTGTATCCGCCTTGCTATCCAAGGTTCATCGATATTACCTTGAGATCACCTTGATATCCACTTATGGTCATCATACTTAATTTTCTAGAGTACAAATTGTAAATTACCATACTGTTCTTTTAAGTGTACAGAATACCCTATGGGTATTGATGCATACCTGTTTCCGTTGTGAAGCAGGACAACTTTAAGGCTTCGTTTTGACGAATCGATGAATAGTCTCCAATCAGTGCTTTCGTATGGAATGTTGAATGTCTTAAACAGTCTACACACATCATAGCAGAATATTAAGTCTCCTTCTTTCGAAAAGTATGGAATAAAATCTTTTTCTCTGTACCTGTACCAGGATAACGAAGCGCCAGCTGCGAGCAAATTCTTATCTTTAAGCCTTGAACCAAGCAATTCTGAAGCCTCTTTGGTCAGATGTATGTCCAGAATCAAATCGTTCAGTTCACTTTGTGTAAATGGTTGTAATGCAAAATTTCCATGTTCGTACTCCTTTTCATTGTCTTCGATTTCTTCACTTGATTCAATTTCTGAACCATCTACTTCAGAGTAATGTTCTGGTTGCATAGGCACTGGCATGTCTGGATCATGAGGGACAGGACGTAAATCCAATGGTAGATTTGGATAGACGATGTTCTTTTTATTCTTTACATTGAAACCGTGAACACTGTGAACACCTGCTGAACAAAAGTAACAATCATCAGTATGCTTTTGTCACTCTCGCCAGATCATCGGAACGCCAAATCTGAAAGCATGTTGTTGACCCTTTGACAACCGTCTCAGTCCTTCAACACACGTATAGCAAACATAGTGAGGTGCCCAAGTTTTGTCTTGATTTCCTATTTTTACACCGAAATACGCGAGGTACACTTGCCGCACGGACGATGTTATATTCCTTTTTTGCCTTGACACCATTAATTAACTCACCACAAATGTAACAAAAGGAATCTGCAGACTTTTTATAGCCTCTTGACACCATGTCAAACATTGCATGTTAGCATTCAAGCCTCTACAGCTATCAACTGACACCAACACGTTTGATAGCGGACGATACCCGCAAACAGTTGCACCAACACTAACAGTTGAGATGTTCAAAACGTTTAAAGACGAAAGTGCTGCTATCTGCCAGTTTATGATGTGAATGACTTGTTTTTATCATAAACCGACAGATGCCAGCATTTCCGATGAATTTAAACCTGGTAGTAAGTCTTATATTTTTGATTTTTTCAATATATGACACTTTTGACAGGTTGCAATTAGAAAATATTCTGACGTAAAGGAAAAAAACCAAGGTCATTTTTGGATTCGGCGCACAAAAATACATAGGAGTCCATCGCCAAAATTTGAAAAACATGATACCGAAAAATGCAGGCCTGTGTTATTTAAATTTTTGTAGTAACCTGCAATCAACTTTTTTTCAATAATCTAGCATAGCGTTTTGTAATTTTCAAATGAACGCTTTTCTATAAAATGTACAGTAGGTGCTGCAAATTTAATATGTTAATATTTTATTTTATGATTTTTGAAATGTTTATATTAAGTCTTACATTTATTATAATTTGATTAATACTTATTATATACATATTTAATTAAATTAATATATTTATTTATGACAGAAAATTTACTTCATTTCATATTTATTTGCAAATCCTTTTTTCATCATTATCACGATAGCAATTTTGTGGCAATATTATGGATGGACTATTTTAATCGGATTCTTGGCCTTATTTTTTTACATTCCTTTCCAAATTGCTTTGAGCAAACTATATACAAAATTCAGGTAATTATTATTTTAAATTACATAGTTGTAAAATGTCTCTAATTAAAATAAAGAAATCATGTTTTTTTTTCTCTTTTTTAAACATGCAATCATTCAAAATTGGCTTAAATGTTTGAGATGAATCTCTTGAAAGTAATGTTTCTAATCGGTTTTCTTTATACAACTTTACCTTGTAGCCTGAGGGTTAAGAACAATTATAATTTCCACGAACAGAGAAAATAGAACTTTCCAAAGCTAAAAGCTAAAGCTATAATGATCATTAATAAGGATGAAATTTACATATTTTAAAAATTATAAAATCTTACTTAATCGAGCTCTCTGCTTTATTCTNAAATAACAAGGATAGAATATAAAATTGTACCTAACATCTGTATCAAACAGCATCAATACCATATGGAATAGAGTAGACCCCCCTATAACACAATAGATACGTTTCGTCTTTTATGAATTTTATGTTGTATGAGTCCTTAAATACTTGAGCCAATCACAGCCCGGCACATATGCAGTTTACGGACTATTGCTGTTTGAAAGGTTTTCGTCTATAAAATTAATTAATTCTAGACGAATTTGACTCAACATTTCCAAAACACGTATAATTTATTCAGAATAATCCATATAAACTATGCTATAAACAAAAAATTGTAGGATTACTTACCGAGAATGAACCGTTTGACGACGCCATTGCTTACGCTTGTTTTCGACGTAGAGCGGCGCATCAAACGGCGGGCACATGTTTCCTGATAAATTATTTTTCTGCGAAAAATTTGCTGAACTTTGGAGACATCAATAAATATAATTTTTATGGCCGTTAAATAATAAAAGGTGCACTGCTCGTTTAAACTCAACGGTTTGTGAAATATCCGTTATTGGTCTAGATTCGATCAATCCTGTCGCGACATGAGTCGGCGATGACGTTTTACCGTATTATAGGAGTTTATTTTAGCATGTTTATACGAATACTGTCGCAATTTTTTTCGCCGTCATATACGAATCCGTATTATATGAACGCATTTTACAAGGGAATCTACTGTAATTAGAAGAAGGAATAAAAATGGATATTAATTTCTGGTTAGTAAAACTTATGAGACACTTAGAGAACCGGAGACATGATATGAACTACTGTATTTTAAATGTTTCTTCAGAAAAGAAACTACTCCGAACACATTAAAATTAAAAAAGTTAATCTGGGACATTGACCTTGATAATGAAGGTACAGTAGAACCTCGATTATCCGCCCCCCGATCAACCGACCCCTTGGTTTATCGACCGTCCTAGTCGGCAAATTTCAAATGTCCGCTAGTGATGTGGCGCTACAATATTTGGCTATGTCTTGGCTACTTTAATATTATTTTTACGTGTTTTAGCTGGCAACACTCATTCGACCNTTCATTTCATATTTATTTGCAAATCCTTTTTTCATCATTATCACAATAGCAATTTTGTGGCAATATTATGGATGGACTATTTTAGTCGGATTTTTGGCCTTACTTTTTTACATTCCTTTACAAATTGCTTTGAGCAAACTATATTCAAAATTCAGGTAACTATTATTTTTAATTTTGTAATTTAATGTATCTAATGTTTCTGGATCGTTTTGTTCAAGAACTCTTCCTGACAGAAAATTTACTTCATTTCATATTTATTTGCAAATCCTTTTTTCATCATTATCACAATAGCAATTTTGTGGCAATATTATGGATGGACTATTTTAATCGGATTCTTGGCCTTATTTTTTTACATTCCTTTCCAAATTGCTTTGAGCAAACTATATACAAAATTCAGGTAATTATTATTTTAAATTACATAGTTGTAAAATGTCTCTAATTAAAATAAAAAAATCATGTTTTTTTTTCTCTTTTTTAAACATGCAATCATTCAAAATTGGCTTAAATGTTTGAGATGAATCTCTTGAAAGTAATGTTTCTAATCGGTTTTCTTTATACAACTTTACCTTGTAGCCTGAGGGTTAAGAACAATTATAATTTCCACGAACAGAGAAAATAGAACTTTCCAAAGCTAAAAGCTAAAGCTATAATGATCATTAATAAGGATGAAATTTACATATTTTAAAAATTATAAAATCTTACTTAATCGAGCTCTCTGCTTTATTCTTTGATATTAGAAAAGTTGATGGAAGGAAAATGTAGATTATTAACTTGCAATCTGGAAAACCAGTAATTGCACTTATTCAAGCAAGCATGAATTTTCATATTTCTGTGATTCCGGAATGAATTGAATAGTTGCATTTTTTATACTTGCGTAATGAGTGTAAAATATTTAAAACATACGTCTTGACAGAGTAAAAAGTAGAAACACAGATTATGGAAATATGTGAATTTCTAACATGGAAAACGATGTAAAAATGTTATGCGAGTAAATTAAAGAAAATGCGTGATATTTAGTGCCTAAAAAATAAATTTATGGAGAATTGTCTTTCAATGTTAGTTAAATGTGTATTGTTTAATTTCATATCTATACATAATTATATGCTTATATTTAAATTGTAATATAATAATTGTAGATCAGAAGCTGCTACTTTGGGAGACAAAAGATTGAACCTATTGAATGAGATGATTACTGCTATGAGAATAATTAAAATGTTCACTTGGGAATCGCCATATACCAAGTTAATAGAAAAAAGCAGAATGTAAGTGCGATGAAATAAAGTAAACACCTGTGTAAACTGATAAAACTGCATAAAACAAAAACCTGTAAACGAAAAGATTTTCAGAACTTAAACCTGCCAAATTAATAAAAAATATATTCAATACCTGATTTGCCGGTTTACACTGGTTTTACTCTGTATTCTCAAACTAATTTGTTTTTAATTGAATAAATATACTTTTCTATCTGTACAGTTCGTATTAATAGATTATTTTTATTTTGCAGAAAAGAAATGAAAAAAGTTGAATTGTTTTTATATACAAGAGGAATATCATTAATACTTGCATATCCTGTATCGAAATTATTTATTTCATTGACATTTCTTGCATTCTTTTTGAATAGAGGACATTTATATGCTGAAATTGTGTTTGTCACTATGAGTTTTTCAGTGATTATATTTACCAGCACTTTTAATATATTTTCTCAAGCGATGAATTTAGTTGCAGAAATATTGGTTTCAATGAAGCGAATTCAGGTAATAAACTGTTTTAAACACTAAAACAAATGAATGATAAAGAGTTTGCGAAAATTATTAATATAAAAGTTATATTTTCATGTTTTAATACTACAATACTAATTTGAAAGTATTTAAATATATTAATATCTAATTTAAAAATTATAATTTTTATTAAAACTGAATAATAAATCGTGCCGAAAAACTGAAATCTGAATAAAAAGGAAGCTGCGTAAATGAAACTAATTTGCAGAACAGAAGGATTTTTTATGATGAATTTTATAGTAAATTGAAATTATGTTGAATAGCAAAAACTGAAACTACCAGTGTTTAGTATTTTTATCATTGAACATTGGTAGTTGGTCTTAGGTTTACTCCTTATCATCAGACTGTCCACACGAAGCTTTCTAGATTTTATTTATTATTGTAACAGTGCATTAAGGGCTAGTTTTTCACAGAAAATCCTCCAAGGAGGAGACCCCTCTCAGTAGATTTGGCAAGCGTCATGTTTCTATATACTAACCCAATTTAAATAAAAACAGAGAAGAAGGCATTTAAACGTGAGAAACGGTTTGCGAAAATTATTTTCCTAAGTAAGAAAACCTAATCATATCATTTCTAATGCATTAAAGGTAAACGTCTCATGTGTCTTTTACCACATTTTTTAGATAATGTAATTATATTTTTCAACAGTGTAAAGCATCTCATTTAATACAAAAAATTGTCAACTAAGTAGTCATTTATAAAGTATACTTCTATGTTTTCAGGATCCAATGTTGTTTACTGGTCCTCTTCGAAGAAATATCGATCCGTTCAATGAATATTCAGATGATCAATTGTGGAAAGCCATAGAAGAGGTTAGAAATAGACAAATATTTTTATGCTATTCAATAAACAGTATTGCTTGTGTGATTTCTCACAGGTACCATGCTCCAGAAGAATTATAACTAAATATTGTCCAAATTCACGGAAAAACGCAATCTTTTATTTCTGCAGTTTGTCTGTCTAACAATATAAAACACTCGTGGATTGAAAAACATAATTTGATCTGATAATGCAAAAAAATAAATTTTTTAAATTCTAACAGTGGATTATAAATTATTCCAAGTTTCATCAAATGATTTTGAGTTTAATATTTTAAGGCAAGAGATTTCTTTGAAATTAAGTGTTGGAAAAAATACTTACTTTCACAGAACTGAGTAAATAAATCCTGCTCAACCCTATTTTAATTATCGATAAACTGCGAATAATTTTATAACTCTCTATACAAATGCTTCTTTTAGTTTAGAACTAGGTTAAAGGGCAACAATGTTATTGTTTTATTCTTTTAGAAACAATGTTGACTTTAAAACATAAACAAAAGTTCTGTTAGATCTGACTAATATAATTTTATATATAATATAATTTTTTTTATTTTATACACTTTAATTACACAGTTTTCAAACAAGTACATGCAAAAGTAATCGCTGTTTAAAGGGATAAAAAAAACTTTAAAGGTTTGCTGATTATTTAGGCAGGAGTATTTAATATTTAAAAAAACGATCGTAAAATAATGCATGAAACAGGAAAAATTTTACAGTTTATTACATGATATTAAATGAACAAATTGAATGCTATATAACAAGGGTTACAAAATTAAACACTGTAAAAGTCGGTCAAATAAATGTATATCAGACGTGGGCCATATTCAATATTATTCGGTAAACCAAAACGTACTGTAATTCGAAAGAATGCTTTAACTAAGAACCTTTTTTGGCCAGACCTTTACTACTTACGTAAACAGTTAGACATTTGAATTTTTCTGTATTAACCCTCGCAAAATTGTAGAAAAATTGATTTTTAGGCTAATGTAAGACGAGCGTGATTTCTTCTCCGTGGTTTTTCACGGACATCAAGTTATGGAAGAGGTTAAGAACATTACACATAAGAAATAGTATCACTGTAAAGATATTTTCATTATACCTTCATATTTTAAATAGTCTCCTTGAGAACTTGCGATGCAGACAAGTGCTGAAAACACACATTACACATACACATTATTCTGAATATTTAATGAACAAGGTTATTCATGTGGAATCTGTGAGACTGCATTATATTTTCTTAAAATGTAGGGGCACAAAAATAAATTTATTGTTGCATTTTCTACGAGTTTAATACTTAGGAATGTATTGATTTTCTGATATTTTTAAAATGTCTTAAAAAACAATTTTTTGAAGGAAAGTTGGTTCTCGTCTGTAAGAAACCACACAAGTCGTTGAGGATTAATCAATTACTTGATATTTTACAGTTGTTTTTGATGAGTACGTTCAATTATTATAAACTGATTTTTGAAAAAAAACTCAATTAAAGGTGCAATTAAAAGAAGTTATAAGTAAATTGCCTGGTAGATTGGATACATATTTAACAGAAGGAGGACGTAATTTCAGCGTAGGAGAAAGACAATTAATATGTCTCGCCAGAACAATTCTTCGTCAGAATAAAATTCTTGTCTTGGATGAAGCAACATCTAATATCGATAAAAGGTGAGAATTAAAAAAAAAACAATAAGAGCTATCTAATTTCAACTGTGAATTATTTTATTTTTTTGTTTTATATTGTCTACTCTGACCTTGTTTATAAATAGGATTTATTATACAGTCCATACCTCCAGTTAACTCGGGCATAGACTTTAAATTAAAAACCGTTAAAAAAGCATTGACTTATAACTTTTCCGAAAATGTATGGATCAGCGTATATACATCGTTATCTATGATCTGTGCAAATTTCATGAATTATTTTTTCCGCGAAAATATTTTATGACGATTTATTAATGTGAGACCTGAAAGGCCCCTGGGTCTAAACCAGTCATTTTATTAATCATGCTAAATATTGTCACCAAATATTATTTCATTTTTCTGAGAAAAATAACGTTTTTAACGTGGGAAAAATAGATAACAGATGTTACTTCCTTTCATAGAAGTTAGTACATCCTCTGACTTTCCCTTATCCCGCTCAGATGAGAAATGTTTACCCCTCATTCATTCCCCTTTCATCCGTTCTCATGAAAAAGTTACTGCATGATGATTGGTCGAAAATCAGCAGATATAGAGGAAATGTGTCAGAATTCGGGGAGTTCAGCGACAGATCTGGAAGTGTCCAAACTCCACACATTTTCCTCCTGATGACCAACGCCCTTAGACGAGTCACATAGAAGAATTCCCGAGTTAGCACTTAGAAATTATACTTTGATTTTGTGCACATATCGATCTCCCATGTTAGGAAGTAAATGAACTTTATCTCCAAAGTGTCCCTTGCCTACAGAGAAGAAGACGATCGACAACTAAAACAGGTTGTATGTTTCTAACGATTTTGTGAGCTCTCTCTCTCGATCGCGAAGCGGGTATAGTATAAGTCCTTGCCTATGTCGTGTATCTTAATTGTTGTATTTATATCCCTCGTTTCTTGATATTTGTAATAGTTTTACTATATATAAAATCATTAAATTTACTTTTGTTTGTTTTATATAAGATATGTCTCTTAAATTGTCTCTGAATCTATAAATTAATCACACGCGTGTTTGTCCGCGGAATTTAATTGACAAACTGGTGTCAGTCCTGACGAGCATCTGGACTTCACAGTTCAGATCTACTAGCGATTATTGCCCTCCTATAAAAAGTAAGAGAACCGATCTCACGATCGCGTGCCCGTAAGTGGCGTACCTCTGATTACGTCCCTGGCTATCTCACATTAATTAGGTAATTAATTGCGCTATTGTTTTTTATGGAAGTTATTTAATCGAATTAATTAAATCGTTCTAAACTTCTATTTCACCGATTTGACTTCGGTAAAATTTTTTAAAACCCTAATTGATGTTTTCTATGACATCAACAGATTTCTTTTTGTTTTTTGTTCAGTAGAATTTTTTCCCCATATCTTTTTTCGGTCCCATGGTAATTTAATAGCATTAAAATCGACAATATTGTGTTATATTTGAACAGATGCGGTAAGTTAGCGGCCCTCCTGCTTTAGACCAATATTCCCCTGAAGCGTACATGAGAACTTTCCGGGAAAGCAAACTCCAGCTGTTCTCAAGGTCAACCAGTTTGTAAACAATGTAGACTGCACGTGTGAAATTGTACATTTTGTTAGACAAAGAATAACAATTCTTACAGCTATATTTCTCAAATAAAAGCACTTATTTTAAATTATTTTTATTATTTTATATACTTTATTTGTAATAACACTTTTTGGAGGGGTTTTTATTTCGCGGGAATTATTTCCCGGAAATTTTTTGGATGTTAGATTCGCATTTAAGCGGAAATAATTCTTTCATACAAAAAATAAATTTTCTGTGGATTTCTTAGTTGCATTTGAATCGGAACAAGGGTATCAAAGGAGTTAAATCGAGTGGTGGAGCTACAAAGTCAGCTGTGAGAAGAACCTGCAAATGCTTTGCTGAGATGGGATTGACAAAAACAACTCCAAGAACAGACAGAAAACCAAAATTAACTGAGCATGATATGAGCAGAATCTGTTCTCTCTCCCTGCAAGACTGTCACATCAACAAACTCCTGAAGACATCTGGCATGCAAATTGTAAACAGAATCATTAGAAAAAGCTAGGTGACAATGGTCTATGAGCAAAGACAACCAAGAAAGAAGCCATACCCAACAAAAAACAGGATGAAATGCTCTGGCACACAAGGAGTGGACACGAGAAAACTGGGGCAAGATTATTTGGAATGACAAGATAAAAATTTGTATCTCTGGAAATTCATTTGTCACTGAGCCAGTGAAGACATTTTGCCCAAGTGCACTATGGCAACCATTAATTAAGCATCCTGCGAGTGTAATGGTGTGAGCTTGAATGGTCAGACAATGGTATTTGACATCTTGATGGCAAAAAATATCAGTAAGTAGTGTTGAAAACTAAACTGCTGCCCACTAATGGGAATTTCTTTGAAAGTGATGCATCTTTCAGCAAGATGGAACACCATCTCATACAACCAGAAGTTGACTAGTGGTTCA